GCCCGGCGGGTGGTTCAGGCTCGGTATTGTGTGATTCTCCTCCCGGACTGGTGAATTATTAAAGGCAATACCCCCCCCCCCCCCCCCCCGCAGTATGTGTGTGGGGGGGAGGGGATGATTCAGCCCATTCATAGTGGCAGTCTTCGTGGGAATCTCGGGGCAGATCACACGCGGCCCCCCCTCACCAGGGCTATTATTAGGCACACGGCGGGGTTGGACCCAGATGGAGCGGCACGCTGGTCGGGGTTCCATTCTTCTGTTCCCATGGACGTAGTAAATGTATAATGTGAGGGAGCGCTCCCTACCAACCACGGCCCTCCGCTCCCCGTCCGCTCTCTTCTATTCGCTCTCCTTGTATGGACAATTCCCAGCTCTGTTTATGAGTCTGCAGTGCCCCTCCCCCACCCCCACCCCTCCAGCCTCATCCCCGGCTCACAATTCTCCTTAAAAATGGCGCCCACAACCTTCCCGGTGAGAGGCGACAGCCGTGCCCCCGCCGTCCATGCAGTGTGTACACCGAGCCCTCCCCGCCCCCCCTCCGACCCTCTTCTCGCTTTGTCGGGGCCCCTGAAGGGTTATTTTTGGAGCCCCCCAGAATGTGACGTTTTGTACTCCGCAGGGTCCAGCAAATATCGCCTCTTGTGTTGTTGAGGTTTTTGCAGCAACTGGAAAAGGCTTTAATATCGTGCCGAAGTTACCAAGGAGATGTTACTGAGAGGGGGAGGGAGCGGGATGTGCGCAATAAACGCTTCTGGGTGAAAACAGTGTGTGTGCTCTGTGCGGGTGTGTGGTGTGTGTGTGCTCTGTGCGTGTGTGCTCTGTGCGGTGCGTGTGTGGTGTGTGTGCTCTGTGCGGTGCGTGTGTGTGTGTGTGCTCTGTGCGTGTGTGCTCGGCGTGTGTGCTGTGGGTGGGTGTGTGCTCTGTGCGGTGTGTGTGGGGTGTGTGCTCTGTGCTTGTGTGGTGTGTGCTCTGTGCGTGTGTGGTGTGTGCTTGCTCTGTGGCGTGTGTGCTCTGTGCGTGTGTGCTCTGTGTGGGGCGTGTTGCTCTGTGCGTTGGGGGTGTTGTGTGGTGTGTGCTCTGTGGTGTGTTTTGTGTCTGTGCGGTGCTTGTGTGGTGTGTGCGTTTCTGTGGGGGTGCGTGTGTGTGTGGGTGCTCTGTGCGTGTGTGCTCTTGTGCGGTGTTTTTGTGTGGTGTGTGGTGTGGGTGCTCTGTCGTGTGTGTGGGCGCTCTGTGCGGTGTGTGGGTGCTCTATGTTTGGGGTGGTGTGCTCTGTGCTCTCTATGCTCTGTGCTGTGCTCTGTGGTGTGTCTGTGCTCTCTGTGCTCTGTGCTCTCTATGCTCTGTGGTGTGCTCTGTGCTGTGCTGTGCGCTCTGTGGTGCTCTGTGTGTGTGCTCTGTGTGGTGCTCTGTGGTGTGCTCTGTGGTGGGCGCTCTGTGCTCTGTGCTCTCTATGCTCTGTGGTGTGCTCTGTGCTCTCTATGCTCTGTGGTGTGCTCTGTGCTCTCTATGCTCTGTGCTGTGCTCTGTGCTGTGCTCTGTGCTTCTATGCTCTGTGGTGTGCTCTCTATGCTCTGTATGTGCTCTGTGCTCTGTGCTGTGCTCTGTGCTCTCTATGCTCTGTGGTGTGCTCTGTGCTGTGCTCTGTGGTGTGTGCTCTGTGCTCTCTATGCTCTGTGCTGTGCTCTGTGCTCTATGCTCTGTGGCTGTGCTCTGTGCTGTGCTCTGTGTGTGCTCTGTGCTGTGCTCTGTGCTGTGCATGCTTTGTGCAGGTTCTGTATGTAGAATGTGAATGCTGCAGAATAGAGAATTTGCTGAGCCTTTCACCATCCCCACCAACGTGTGACTCACAACTGGCCGTTAAATGGGGGAGGGGGAAGCTCCCTGTGTGTATCATTTCAGTGGATTTTAGGGATCTGGACCTTTTTCCCACCCATCCCCCAACCTGAGAAAAGGCTGAGAGCTTCATTACAAAGAAATCTTATGTAACAATGTGTGTATTCTGAGCGATCGTTTCCTGCACACGATGTGACGTCCTGGAGATCTCCGCCATCCCGCCTATTTTATTTATTTATTTCCCTTTAAACCCTCATTATTGGGAGGCGTAATCAGCGGGGGTTGCATTGTGTGGGGGGGATCTGCCTTTATTGTCCAATATCTGCCGCTATCATGTCTTTTGTTGTGTCCGGCCCAAATCCTCCTCCTCCTCCTCCTCCTCCTCCTCCATGCTTTACATTTCAATCGCTCTCTGATTGTCTGTTTACTAGGATTTCCCTCGTGGTAAATACCCGGACTGTGCGCCTCCAATCACATCCCACCAACAGCATGGAAGTACAAACGCAGCCTTCCCATGTATTCCCTGTGATGTGTGTGAGCATTGCCCTGTCCCTTCTCGCCCCGTCCCTTCTCGCCCCGTCCCTTCTCGCCCCGTCCCTTCTCGCCCCGTCCCTTCTCGCCCCGTCCCTTCTCGCCCCGTCCCTTCTCGCCCCGTCCCTTCTCGCCCCGTCCCTTCTCGCCCCGTCCCTTCTCGCCCCGTCCCCTTCTCGCCCCGTCCCCGCGCCCCGTCCCTTGTCCCCGCGCCCCGTCCCTTGTCGCCCCGTCCCATTCTCCCCTGTCCCTTCTCCCTTCCCCTCCCCGCGCCCCATCCCCTCCCCGTTCTCCCCGCGCCCCTTCTCCCCGTCCGCCTTGCCCTCCCCTTACGCCTTGCCCTCCCCTTACTACAGGTAAATACACTGTTTAGGTATTTATTTACATGTAAGGGTTTGACTTCATATGGCTTCCTTTTGTTATTCAGAGGCATTCTGATGGTTTGACCCCAATTCCAATAGTACACAATTGGCTGCTATGTGGGTGTTCATTAGAATTTAGAAAAAAAAAAAAAATATATATATATTATTGCTAGATTGTAAGCTCCCAGGATCAGGGCCCTCCGTTTCCTCTTGTACCAAATTGTATAGTAACTGTAATGTCCGCCTTCATTTTGTACAGCGCTGCGCACACTGTTGGCACTTATATATATCCAGTATAATAATATATATATAAAATGTATCCAATAATTGTGTGTATGTATATTGAAACCATAGAAACAGAATTTTTTATATTTAAAAATATAATGCAGTATTATTATTATTATAGAGGATTTATGGCGCCAACAGTGTGCTCAGCGCTGTACAATATAACGGGAGACAATACAGATCAATACAAGAGGGATAGGAGGGGCCTGCAATCTATGAGGGAGGGGTTAGTGGTACAATAGGTAATAACTGTGGGGGATGGATTGGGCCGGGGGTCACGTATTATTATATAATATTTTATTATATATGACCCATAATTGTATGTGTTTTGCTATGTGTTAATAAATCTATCTTTTTATATGTATATCTTGCCCATAGTAAGATGTTCTATGTGCATTTATTATATATAAACCCATTGTATGTGTGTGGGGATCATCCAAAGAACACGAGGTACACCGCTCAGGCAAACAATCCAGATCAATCCACGACAAGTGCAGGCTCCGGCTCGCCACCACACACCATGCAATAGGAAGAAGGGTCCACCGGAGGGTAGATGAATATATAGTGTGTATTGATCACCAGGACAGGAATACGGGACTAGTGAACGCGTTTACACAATCCGTGCTTAATCCTGCGGGGATATATATATATATGAAAAAAAATATTGACCATAATTGTGTCTAAAATATATTTAATATGGCCGTTCCCCTCTCCGCTCTCCCCTGCCGGTCCCCTCTCTCCGCTCTCCCCTGCCTCTCCGCTCTCTGGCCGTTCCCCTCTCCGCTCTCTCTGGCCGTTCCCCTCTCCGCTCTCTCTGGCCGTTCCCCTCTCCGCTCTCTCTGGCCGTTCCCCTCTCCGCTCTCTCTGGCCGTTCCCCTCTCCGCTCTCTCTGGCCGTTCCCCTCTCGCTCTCTCTGGCCGTTCCCCTCTCTGCTCTCTCTGGCCGTTCCCCTCTCTGCTCTCTCCGGCCGTTCCCCTCTCCGCTCTCCCTGGGCCGTTCCCCTCTCCGCTCTCTCCTGGCCGTTCCCCTCTCCCGCTCTCCCTGGCCGTTCCCCTCTCCGCTCTCTCCCGGCCGTTCCCTCTCTCTGCTCTCCCCGGCCGTTCCCCTCTCTGCTCTCCCCCGGCCGTTCCCCTCTCTGCTCTCCCCGGCCGTTCCCCTCTCTGCTCTCCCCGGCCGTTCCCCTCTCTGCTCTCCCCGGCCGTTCCCTCTCTCCGCTCTCCCCGGCCGTCCCCCTCTCCCTCTCCCCGGCCGTTCCCCTCCCCTCTCCCCGGCCGTTCCCCTCCCCTCTCCCCGGCCGGTCCCCTCTCCGCTCTCCCCGGCCGGTCCCCTCTCCCCTCTCCCCGGCCGGTCCCCTCTCCCTCTCCCCGGCCGGTCCCCTCTCCGCTCTCCCCGGCCGGTCCCCTCTCCGCTCTCCCCGGCCGGGTCCCTCTCCGCTCTCCCCGGCCGGTCCCCTCTCCGCTCTCCCCGGCCGGTCCCCTCTCCGCCGCCTTCCCCGGCCTCCCCTCTCCCCCCCGGCCGTTCCCCTTCCGCTCGTCTCCCCGTGCCGTCCTCCCTCCGCTCTCCCCGGCCGGTCCCCTCTCCGCTCTCCCCGCCGGTCCCCTTCCGCTCTCCCCGGAATTTCCCCCTTACCGCTATCTCCGACCGGCCGTGTTCCCCCTCTCCCTCTCCCCGGCCGTTCCCCCTTCCGCTCTCCCCGGCCGGTCCCCTCTCCGCTCTCCCCGGCCGGTCCCCCAATCCACTGATCCCAGCCGGACTCTCCGCTCTGTCCCCGGCCGGTCCCCTCTCCGCTCTCGGGCCCCCGCCGTTCCCCTGTCCGCTCTGCCCCCCGTGTTGGTCCCCTCGTCCGCTCTCCCCGGGCCGGTCCCCCATCCGCTCTCCCCGGCCGGTCCGCTCTCCCATGTTATAGACTGTCCCGGCCGTTCCCCTGTATCCGACTCTCCCTCTCCCCATTGGTCTGTCCCTCGGCCGCTCTCCCCGGCCTGTCCCCTCTCCGCTCTCCCCGGCCGTTCCCCTCTCCGCTCTCCCCGGCCGTTCCCCCTCTCCCCGGCCGGTCCCCTCTCCGCTCTCCCCGGCCATGGTATCCCCTCTCCGCTCTCCCCGGCCGGTCCCCTCTCCCCCCTCCCCCCGCCGTGTTGCTGATCTATATCCCAGTTTTTTAGTTGTAGATGTGTTTGTAAATCCTCCGTTCCGGCCTCCAGTGTTGGTGATGCTGCTGCGCTCCCACGCCCTCCATTTACAATCTGTGAATTTGCCCCTTACAGCTATTATTTGGATATTTGTTGTTTTGCTGACTCATCCAGCTCTGCCTTGTTCTCGGCCTTGTCTGCTTACTGACACATCACTTGTATAATCTATAGACATTTCCCCCAATCACACTGATGAGGACTCCTCCTGCACCTCTGTATACAGATGTATAGACTGTGCGGCCCCCATGTATAGACTGTCCGCTGTGCGGCCCCCATGTATAGACTGTCCGCTGTGCGGCCCCCATGTATAGACTGTCCGCTGTGCGGCCCCCATGTATAGACTGTCCGCTGTGCGGGCCCCCCATGTATAGACTGTCCGCTGTGCGGCCCCCATGTATAGACTGTCCGCTGTGCGGCCCCCATGTATAGACTGTCCGCTGTGCGGCCCCCATGTATAGACTGTCCGCTGTGCGGCCCCCATGGACACCATTCTGCGGCTCTGACTGTATCATTGTTGGATGTTTCTCTACAATTCATTTTCTGAAGAGCGAATCTCACATCTCGGCTTGTCGGTTTTTCTCTCTTCTGATAATTTTAGATTCTGGAACTGAAACTCTGTATGGTTGTGCTTGGCGGCGTCTCTTCCCTCCGTCATGTGTAGACGTTCGGCCCGCTCTCTGCTGTGCGGCTGACCCCCGGGAACCCATTGGGTGGTTTCATTTTTTTTTTTTTTTTTAACTTCCACATCAGAAAGGAAACCTTTTTTTTTTCCTTTTATGGGAATTTTTTAAAACCGTATGAGAAGAATCTACTGATTGGAGCAGTTCTGCATGGCAACCAATCAGCTGCTGTCTTTCATTTTGAGAGCCTAAAACAGAACAGTGCTGGTCTCTCCGCTCGCAATGGTGGCCTCCCCTCGCGCAGCGCTGACCTCCATTCGCGGTCGTGGCCTCCCCTTGCAGCGCTGACCCTCCATTCGTATGTTGTTCTTGGCGGCCACCCTTCCCCTCCAAGGTCACTGACCTCCATTCGCGGTCGTGGCCCCCCTCGCAGCACTGACCTCCCCTCGCAGCACTGACCTCTCCCTCACAACACTTCCCTCTACTCCAGTAATGTGGCTGATATCTGGCCATTTCGTCCTCGTGATTTCCATCTTCGCCATGACGATGTCACATTTGCCCATGGTGGGAATCATTTCCCCTCGCGGTCGTGGCGCTGGGCTCCCCTCGCAGCACTGTCCTCCCCCTCACGGTCTTAGCCTCCCCTCGCAGCACTGGCCTCCCCTCGCAGCACTTCCCTCTACTCCAGCATTGTGGCTGATCTCTGGCCATTCGTCCTCTGATTTCCATCCTTCGGCCATGACGATGTCACATTTGCCCATTGTGGGAATTCATTCCCCTCGCGGTCGTGGCCTCCCGTTGTGGTCGTGGCGCTGGGCTCCCCTCGCAGCACTGGCCTCCCCTCACAGTCGTGGCCTCCCCTCGCAGCACTGACCTCCCCTCGCAGCGCTGACCTCCCCTCGCAGCACTTCCCTCTACTCCAGCAAGGTGGCTGATCTCTGGCCATTCGTCCTCTGATTTCCATCCTTCGGCCATGATGATGTCACATTTGCGCATGGTGGGAATTCATTCCCCTCGCGGTCGTGGCCTCCCCTCGTGGTCGTGGCGCTGGCCTCCCCTCGCAGCACTGACCCTCCCCTCACGGTCGTGGCCTCCCCCCGCGGTCGTGACCTCCCCTCGCGGTCGTGGCCTCCCGTTGTGGTCGTGGCGCTGGCCTCCCCTCGCAGCACTGGCCTCCCCTCGCAGCACTGGCCTCCCCTCGCAGCACTGGCCTCCCCTCGCAGCACTGGCCTCCCCTCGCAGCACTGACCTCCCCTCGCAGCACTTCCCTCTACTCCAGCAATGTGGCTGATCTCTGGCCATTCGTCCTCTGATTTCCATCCTTCGGCCATGATGATGTCACATTTGCGCATGGTGGGAATTCATTCTCCTTGGCAGACGCAGATCTTGTATGCTGAGCTGCACCTACACAGCCGAGTGTACATTGCACACAAGGAAGAGTATTTGAATGCAGAAGACACAATGGGAGTTATTTACTAAAACTGCATTCTGCAAAATCCGGTGCAGCTCTGCATAGCAACCAATCAGCTTCCGGGTTTTATTGCCAAAGCTTATTAGAACAAGCTGAAGGTGGAAGCTGATTGGCTGCAGATTCTGCACCCTCCAGTTTTAGTAAATGTCCCCCATAATGTGTCTCCTGCATGACACCGCCGGCCTGTAGCAGCGGATTGGTTGCCATGCACACTGCTGCGGTGTCAGTGACTCTCCATTGACTGTAATACATCTACTATTCTGTGATTGCTGAATGTCCTTCTCTGCCGTTTCCTTGATGAAGGAAGGCGCCGACTTTGTCCTGCCCGGTGATATCTCTCATCCTCTGCTGTCATTGGTCAGATTCACGCCAGCATCGGCTGCTGGTCCCACTTCATGAGAAGAAATCGCAGCACCGTGGTCTTCCCATCAGACCTCCATCTGTACAGTGCTCCATAGGCGGGGGGGGGTGGGGTGGGGGGGGGGTAACTATATGTTGTGTATTAGGATTAATGGGTGTAAATCTGTATTCCCTTCTAGTGAGAGGATTACCCCAGAGCCCCGGTGCAGGTAAAGGACACGGCTGCGACTGACGCAATGATCGCATCCCTGTCTGCCAGGCACCGCATCGTCTTCTCTACACCTGCAGCGGCTCCTTTTTATTTCATTTTGTTAATCTTGGACAAAGGGGTTGATTTACGAAGTCACCGGTCACACCGCTGCGATTTGTGTGCGACTTCAGCTGCGATTTCTGAAGGCTTTATTGCGACTTGTGAAGATTTTCAATGATTTCCTGCCATTAGAGCGATTTCCATGATCATTTCTGGAGAGTGCAGAATCTGGTGCAGCTGTGCTTGGCAGCCAATCAGCTTCTCACTTTCAGTTTGTTCAGTGAAGCTTTGACTATAAAGCCTGGAAGCTGATTGGTCCCTCTGCAGGGCTGCACCACATTCTGCACCCTCTGGTTTTGGTAAATCCCCCCCATGGTGTACCCTTGTAGTAGGTGATCCTGTTCCTGCGATGTGTCCTTGGCCTTTCACTGCTCCAGTTTATGTTTTGAGAGGACCCCGGGTGACCCATCACTGATCGCGGTCCGGTTTGTAATTCACAGCCCTATAGGAGAGTGTCTGCCGGTAACAGCGGAGCGGGATATTGGGCTCTCGGTAATATTGTGGCCAGACAAGCAGCTCGCAGCGTCAGAATTTTCTCGCTCTTTTATGTGGAAAGAATTCGGCCGGCCTGAAATAACTTCCAGATGTTCCTGAGATGAAGAATTGTGGAGGAGGAGATCCCACCCTATCTGTGTGAAGATCGCACTCCGGCCCATGTGTGCCGCTCTGCAATCACCCCAACCAATGGGGGAGATTTACTAAAACCGGAGCACAGAAACCAATCCGCTTCCAGGTTTTATTACCAAAACATCATTGAAGAAGCTGAAGGTAGAAGGTGATTGGCTGTCATGCAGAGCTGCACCAGATTCTGAGTGCTCCAGTCTTAGTAAATCTCCCCCAATGAGTTTTTGTGTCATTTCTGTATCGGGGCTGTGACCATTCCTCTGTGCTTTTTGGGGTTTTTTTTTGTGTATTGCCACATAGGGACTCATAGTACATAATTATAGTTGCTTGCAGGTTTCAGGCTGACATAATGGGGGGTATTTACTAAAACCGGGAGAGCGAAAAATCTGGTGCAGCTGTGCAAAAAAAAAAAAACCCCGCATTCACTGTATCCGCTCTCCCCGGACCCCGCATTCACTGTATCCGCTCTCTCTCCCGGACCCCGCATTCACTGTATCCCCCGCTCTCCCCGGACCCCGCATTCACTGTATCCGCTCTCCCCGGACCCCGCATTCACTGTATCCGCTCTCCCGGACCCCGCATTCACTGTATCCGCTCTCCCCGGACCCCGCATTCACTGTATCCGCTCTCCCCGGACCCCGCATTCACTGTATCCGCTCTCCCCGGACCCCGCATTCACTGTATCCGCTCTCCCCGGACCCCGCATTCACTGTATCCGCTCTCCCCGGACCCCGCATTCACTATATCCCGCTCTCCCCGGACCCCGCATTCACTATATCCGCTCTCCCCGGATCCCCGCATTCACTGTATCCGCTCTCCATGGACCCCGCATTCACTATATCCTCTCTCCCCGGACCCCGCATTCACTATATCCTCTCTCCCCCGGACCCCACATTCACTATATCCGCTCAAATCCTCCCCGGACCCCGCATTCACTATATCCGCTCTCCCCTGCCTCGGACCCCGCATTCACTGTATCCGCTCTCCCCCGGACCCCGCATTCACTATATCCGCCCTCCCTGGACCCCGCATTCACTATATATCCGCCCCCCTGGACCCCGCATTCCTTACATCCGCTCTCCCCCACCCCGCATTCACTGTATCCCGCTCTCCCCGGGACCCCCGCATTCACTATATCCGCTCTCCCTGGACGCCCCCGCATTTCCTTACATCCGCTCTCCCCGGACCCCACATTCACTATATCCGCTCTCCCCGGACCCCGCATTCACTATATCCCCGCTCTCCCCAGACCCCGCATTCCTTACATCCGCTCTCCCCGGACCCCGCATTCACTATATCCGCTCTCCCCGGACCCCGCATTCACTATATCCGCTCTCCCGGACCCCCCCACATTCACTATATCCGCTCTCCCCGGACCCCACATTCACTATATCCGCTCTCCCCGGACCCGCATTCACTATATCCGCTCTCCCCGGACCCCCATTCACTATATCCGCTCTCCCCCGGACCCCGCATTCACTATATCTTGTCTCCCCGGACCCCGCATTCACTATATCCGCTCTCCCCGGACCCCGCATTCACTATATCCGCTCTCCCCGGACCCCGCATTCACTAATATCTGCTCTCTCCGGATCCTGCATTCACTATATCCGCTCCTCCCCGGACCCCGCATTCACTATATCCGCTCTCCCCGGACCCCGCATTCACTATATCCGCTCTCCCCGGGACCCCGCATTCACTGTATCCGCACTCGCCCCGGACCCAGCATTCACTATATCTGCATCTGGAAGAAGGGGAGGAGCAGAGAAGACAGCATCAAACAGCATTTTTACACAATGTAGAGGTTTAGGGTCCACAGTGAGATCTGTGCTGCATCTACAGACTGATGTCACTGTTGTGGGTTTAGTGACACATTAATGAACAAGCTGAAGTTGGCAGCTGATTGTCTCCCACATCAGAGTGCTCCAGGTTGAGTGAATCTCCTCCATGGTATCGGTGAAGGTCGGGGCTGAGTTGCATTATTTTCCAGGGAATATTTCAGTTTAAGATCTGCAATCTTTTCAGCCTTAGAATCCCTTTCTTGCTGAGAGGGCAGGTTAGAACATGAGAAGCCGGGATTTAGCTGCGGCTCGTACTCGGCCTGCTTCATGGCAGGGTGTTTGGCCAGCATTCAATTCTCCAAGTATTCGTCAACCTCTGGGCTAGAATATTCACATTTTGTAGGGCGGCCACTGTGAACGGGTTAAGACTCGCCTCGCCACACTTCGATGAACAAGGTGCATTTCATGGGTTTCAGATTGTTGGGTGCAAAATATTTCCTGTTCAGAGTTTCTGCTTCGGAGATGTGAAGATTTCCATCAGTGGCAAAGAATATATAACCCCAACATTTCCTATTCCTGCTGTACCATGTGCTTGTATGAAGACGTCTCCTCTCTGTATTCCTTGGTGTGAAGTCCCTGCCAGTCCCTCCGCTTCCCTATTACTGACCGCACTACGCATGAGAACGCCACGTGGTCAGTTCTTTATCTGTGCTGGGAACTCAGTGATCAGACTAGTCCCCTTCCTGCACAGCCATTCACTGGGAAGAGCAGTGTTTGTGCCGTTTCTCCTCCCCCGCCTCTCTATGTAGCTGAGAACACAGGGTGTGAAATCACTTATAAAAAGGGGGGGGGGTGTTTTGTTTTTTATATCTGTCCCCCAAGGTTTACCTTTTATTTTTATTTTAAACTGAATGTGTTGTTTTACGGGGTAAGGGTTTATAGACAATGTTCCCTGGATCAGGATATCTATTTTATCTCACGACATCTGAAAGCAAGTAAAATGATGATAAATATATAGTTAAGAGTCTGGCTGCAAAAAACGAAAGTCCATCCAGTTCAACCAATAGAAGGGAAAAATAATAAAAAAAAAATATTAAAAATAAAAGAGAAAAAAAATAAAAAAAAATAAAAAAAAAAAAAAAAAGAAAAAAATAAAAAAAAAAAAAAAAAAAAAAAAAAAAAAATAGAAAGAAAAAAAAAAAAAAAAAAAAAAAAAAAAAAAAAAAAAAAAAAAAAAAAAAAAAAAAAAAAAAAAAAAAAAAAAAAAAAAAAAAAAAAAAAAAAAAAAAAAAAAAGAAAAAAAAAAATAAAAAAAAAAAAAAAAAAAAAAAAAAAAAAAAAAAAAATAAAAGAAAAAAAAAAAAAAAAAAAAAAAAAAAAAAAAAAAAAAAAAAAAAAAAAAAAAAAAAAAAAAAAAAAAAAAAAAAAAAAAAAAAAAAAAAAAAAAAAAAAAAAAAAAAAAAGAAAAAAAAAAAAAAAAAAAAAAAAAAAAAAAAAAAAAAAAAAAAAAAAAAAAAAAAAAAAAAAAAAAAAAAAAAAAAAAAAAAAAAAAAAAAAAAAAAAAAAAAAAAAAAAAAAAAAAAAAAAAAAAAAAAAAAAAAAAAAAAAAAAAAAAAAAAAAAAAAAAAAAAAAAAAAAAAAAAAAAAAAAAAAAAAAAAAAAAAAAAAAAAAAAAAAAAAAAAAAAAAAAAAAAAAAAAAAAAAAATATCCTGCAGGGAAGACCTTCCTTCCTGTCCCCCCCGAGAGGCGATGGATATTTCCCGTGTCACCTTCACCTATAAATATTGGTATCCAGTTCTGTTTTGTGTGTTCAGGAAATATTAGGAATATGTTCTAATGTCTGAATTCTTTTTTTTTTCATTCTTTTTGTCTTGCAGATATGGACGTGTGGAGAGTGTCAAAATTTTGCCTAAAAGGGGATCCGATGGCGGCGTGGCAGCATTTGTGGATTTTGTGGATATTAAAAGTGCACAGAAGGCGCATAATGCTGTCAACAAAATGGGGGACCGTGACCTCCGGACGGATTATAACGAGCCGGGCACCATTCCAGGAGCTGCCCGGGTTTTGGATGAGACAGTTTCCATAACATCTCGTAGTAGAGAGGTTTCTGGGTTCAGAGGAGGTGGTGGGGGGCCGGCTTACGGTCCCCCTCAATCACTTCATGCACGGGAAGGACGTTATGAACGGAGACTCGATGGGTAAGTTGTAAGGTTTCACTAGGCAGGTATTTTGTATTTTATATGATGAGGAAACAAAAACTCACTTAGGTTCCCCCCGTTGGATGTAAAAATTTTGGGAAATCTGTATCCTTCCTCATGGGTTTGGAAACATAGGATTCTTATCCTGATGGCTGGGATCTTGTGGATCCGTAAAGGGAGTCTTCCTGCAGCTGGCTGGATATGTATGTATTTCATGAGGAACGTTGGAAGTATGGCGCTGGTTGACATGGAGTATTCGCTGGGGTTTAGTATCGCTGTCCCTGTGGATCTATACTTGGAGTTATCCTACCTCTGGAGTGTAATAACCTGGCCGTCTCTGCTGGCTGCTACACCGGGCCTTGCACACGGATTGTACACAACGAGGGGGCTTGACTGTCACACGCTGTGGATTGTACACTTACCTGAGCTGGGGATGCTTCCCGAAGACGGAAGACTTGGCATCTCTTGGATATACACACATTGCTGTCTCTGGGGATTAAACATCGTCTTATGGCCTTCTATGGAATGTAATGGTGGAGTAAGTGACCTTTCCTGGACTGTAGACTCAAAGGGCTGATCCGTGTAGGATGGTGATTTCTATAAACCGGAACCCCGAAACACATTGGAGAGGGCAGATACCATTTTTTTTATTTTTCACACCTTACCCGTTGGATTGTGGATATGACCAGTAACTGGATGTCTGTACCGGAACCATGTGAGTGAATCGCTGGCTTGGACTGACACGATTGGTGGGTTTACAGAGAGCAGCTGCTGCGGGACACTTTTTGTAAGAAGAAAGAAATATATATTTTAAAGTCCAGATTTGAAGTGGATGGCGTTCGGAGCTTGGGGGCTGGAAAAGAAAAAGGTTCCAATGGTTTTCCTGCCCGTAGGATCCTCGTCCTCGGTGGATTGCTCCCTTTTTTTTTTTTTTTTTTGTTGTTGTTTTTTGAAAACTTTCCATTTTTTTTTTTTTTTTTTTTTTTTTTTTGGTTACGTAAGAATACATTTTTTCTTGGTTCATCAAAAGTATCATTTGAAAACCCATGCCCTTGTGCCTCATTGAGAAGGTGGATTTACCCTAAAAAGGGACCAAATTGGGGAAGTTATGTTCTCAAATCACTCCCTAGATTTAATTGGGATTTTAGGTCGTGTTTCCTCAATTGGAAAAGGTTGGTATGTGCTGCCCTGTATATATTCCGCCCCTCTCCTAACCCAAAGTCATCCTGTTTTTCCACTAACCCCCCTGTACAACTTCTAGCACTAATAGATACAGCCACGGCTATGTTAGCACCTACATATCTGATCTTTACAACTTTGCTTCCTCCTCCTCTTCCTCTCTGTACTGTGATTTCTTCATAGAGATTGTATTGTTGTGTCCTTTAGAACACTAAAGCAACCCTCCCTCTTGTCCTAAGTTCTGCTTTCCTAATCCTTAACAGCGAAAAATCATGTTTTTTCCTGTTCCTTCCTCACCAATGCAATATTTCTGAGAGTCTAAAGCATCTTTTTATTCTACATTTGATATATGAAGTGTTTTGTCTGTTGTAGTGAATGGAGGTTCTGAATACTAGACCCCCGGGGGGATGCTAGTCTAGATGGCAAACAATGTGACTCCCCTAAGCCTGGAGAGGCTGCAGAGAACCAGGATAATTACTGAAGACCCAACTCTGCTCCTCCTTCAGAACCAGAATGTAGAAGAATCGTCAGCTCCTATGACCAGCAGAGGCCAGAGGGAGATCGGGAGCTGTGGGTTAGGCAGGCTTAGAGGGCACAAATCATGTGGGAGATGAAATCCCCATAGTGTGGATTTTATTAATTGAAGTGCCTATCATGTGACCTACCATGTCACATGACCTACCCAGGGGCGGACTGACCATTTGGAAACGCAGGCACTGCTCGAGGGTCCGGGGTCAGTAGGGGGCCCCATGAGATGCCCCTGGTACCTTTTTCATAGGCTTTTTTGAGTTTGGGCAAGGACACAGGGGCCCCATGATCCCCTATTGCCCGGGGGCCCCATGAGTTGTCAGTCCGCCCCTGGACCTGCCCCATGGGTTGTCAGTCCGCCCCTGGACCTGCCCCATGGGTTGTCAGTCCGCCCCTGGACCTGCCCCATGGGTTGTCAGTCCGCCCCTGGACCTGCCCCATGGGTTGTCAGTCCGCCCCTGGACCTGCCCCATGGGTTGTCAGTCCGCCCCTGGACCTGCCCCATGGGTTGTCAGTCCGCCCCTGGACCTGCCCCATGGGTTGTCAGTCCGCCCCTGGACCTGCCCCATGGGTTGTCAGTCCGCCCCTGGACCTGCCCCATGGGTTGTCAGTCCGCCCCTGGACCTGCCCCATGGGTTGTCAGTCCGCCCCTGGACCTGCCCCATGGGTTGTCAGTCCGCCCCTGGACCTGCCCCATGGGTTGTCAGTCCGCCCCTGGACCTGCCCCATGGGTTGTCAGTCCGCCCCTGGACCTGCCCCATGGGTTGTCAGTCCGCCCCTGGACCTGCCCCATGGGTTGTCAGTCCGCCCCTGGACCTGCCCCATGGGTTGTCAGTCCGCCCCTGGACCTGCCCCATGGGTTGTCAGTCCGCCCCTGGACCTGCCCCATGGGTTGTCAGTCCGCCCCTGGACCTGCCCCATGGGTTGTCAGTCCGCCCCTGGACCTGCCCCATGGGTTGTCAGTCCGCCCCTGGACCTGCCCCATGGGTTGTCAGTCCGCCCCTGGACCTGCCCCATGGGTTGTCAGTCCGCCCCTGGACCTGCCCCATGGGTTGTCAGTCCGCCCCTGGACCTGCCCCATGGGTTGTCAGTCCGCCCCTGGACCTGCCCCATCTGTCCTCCGCCATATTGTGTTGTGAGGATCCCTGAACCACTTGAAAGGCTCCTGCCATGGTGATCACTTAGTACCCAACCCTTTGGATTGTTGCTTGGACCCAATTATTATTTATATCTCCTTCATTAATGCTCCGGGTGCCATTTGTTATTCTGCGACCTATCTATAAAGCTTACAGCCCAACTCCAGCCAAATGGACTTTATTTTCACACGCAGTCAGGCTTTGCCCGCAACGCTGGGGTCAACTGCTTGGTTTTTTCTAGGTTACATAGTTAGTCTGGCTGAAAAAAGACAAAAGTCCATCCAGTTCAACCATAGGAAAAAAAAAAATAAAAGTTATAATCCTCCACCCACAGTTGTTCCAGAGGAAGGCAAAAACACCCAGCAAAGCACGATCCAATGTGCTCCTGCAGGGAAAACATTCCTTCCTGACCCCCCGAGAGGCAATCGGATCTTCTCTGTGTGAGCACAACGTTTATACTCGCCTGATCCTTCAGTCCTCTGGAAAATAGCTCTCCCCCACAGTCCAGCGGTGGACTGTTCCTGTCTTTGGCGTATGCTGTGGGCATGATGACGTCAGGAACAATCCATTTGTAAGACCATTGGAGCGTGCTGGTGCCAGACCAGTCTTGTGTGGGGAGGATCAGGCAAGTATATCTCCACTGGCCTCCCCCCCCCCCCCCCCCCCCCCCCAGAATAAAACAAGCAGTTAACCCATCAGCGCAGGCACAGCCCTACTGCATGGGAGCATTCTTTCCCCGGAGTTCAGCTTTAACATTTTGTTTTGGTAAAGGGAGTGAAGAATGAGAAGGCTCCTCTTTCAATATGGCATCCTTTTTTTTTCCTAGTTTTCCCAGTTTGTTTACCAGGTTTGTCTGCTTTTCACTGGACTCTGGGCATAAAAAAGTCATTGAATTGTATTGTGTGCTAATCATTAAATCCATTCTGTGTGCACCAAATGCTTGTACAGATCCAGATATTCCCTTGTAAAAGTAGCAGTGACACCATCTCTGTGCTGTACACAGCCTGTGCTGGGAGCAGAGCTGTGGGAGGGATCCAGGAGACTCCACCCACTACAGAAAGCTAGATGAGGGGGCGGAGACAAGACCAGTTCCACCGCACAAGGAGGGAGAGCAGAGCTGTGGGAGGGGCCTAACAGACTGCAGGCAGAGATTGCAGGAGGGGGTGGAGACAAGACCAGTCCTGCACAAGGAGGGAGAGCAGAGCTGTAGGAGGGGCCTAATAGGCTTCAGACTTAGACTACATAGGGGGGGCGGAGACCAGACAGTCCTGCACAAAGGAGTGCAGAGTTGTGGGAGGGGGGCCTAATGGGTTTCAGACAAAGATTACAGGAAGGGGTGGAGACAAGACGGCCACCCTGCACAAGGAGAGAGCAGAGCTGTAGGAGGGGCCTAATGGGCTTCAGACAAAGATTACAGGAAGGGGTGGAGACAAGACCAGTCACCCCCCGCACTAGGAGAGAGCAGAGCTGTGGGAGGGACTCAGACTCCACCCACTACTGGCAGAGAATACAGGAGGGGGTGGAGATCAGACCAGTCCCCCTGCACAAGGAGAGGGACCATAGCTGTGGGAGGGGCTCAGAAGGCTCCACCCGCTGCAGGCAGAGACTACAGGAGGGGGCGGAGACAAGACCAGTCCCCCCACACAATGAGGGAGAGCAGCAGTGAGCGGTCTTCATTCCAGGAAGTGTCACCCTGGAGGACGGCTCAGATCTGGAAGAAACACTCCGATCTCCGAGGTTCAAGTAGTAATACACAAGGGTTGTAGTCAGACAGTATTGTCGGCTTTTACATTACATTTGGATCATTGATGAATTGGAGGGAAATGTCAGGAAGTCGGCAGTGAGGAGTTCCACCATTACTATAAATCGGCTCCTTACAGCTAAGCCCGTGTTCAGTCATTTACCAGACGGAGACCCCCAGGAAACACTCCTGTCAGCAGCTACACGTGTGCATTGTGTCCCGGGATGGATTTCTTGTCAGTCATGTTAGATTCTGCTGTATGACTCCCGAGGTCCACACTAGGCGTGATCGGCACCGGACACAGGCCCACCCACATGGTGCTGAACGGGAGCGTTACCGGGGCCCACATGCATTACACGCGGCCCAGGTTCATGTGCGTTTTATTCCTGTCATCCCCCTTCTAGTACAATTCCAGCCTGGAAAATGCTCCTAACACCTGCGCTCACTAACCTGTGTACAAACCATGAATGTACTTACCTGGATTCAGCCTGCAGGGGGGAGGAGGGAGTGCTAACAACAGCTGGGAGCCTGTGGGTGATGTCACCACTTATTACCATTACAGGGACTTGTATAGTGTGGTCAGTTTACGCTGCACTTTGTATATATTGTACATCCACATCACCTCCAGGCATTCCCGGCCATTGTCCAGCGCTTTCCCCTCCCCTCCTAGTGCCTAGGCAGACTAACCTGTGTACACAACATGTATGTACTTGCCTGTCCTCGGCCTGGTCTGGTCATGTGATCGGGCTCCCCTGTGCCAGCCAGTGGTGGCTGCAGGGGGGAGGAGGGAGCTCCGACAATGGCTGGGAGCCTTTAGATGTCATCACCTCCAGGCATTCCCGGCCGTTGTCCAGCGCTCTCTCCTCTCCCCTGCAGCCGCTGTTGACTGATGCAGTGAATAACGAGGTCATGTAAAGTGTCCATACACAGGTCAGCCAGCAGAGGTGTCAGGAGGGGGAGGGGCATTTTTAAGGCTACTTTAAGATCACATTCTATAAATACATTGTGACCGCCACCAAAATGCGACCCACCGGGATGGTGATTGGTGTAGTCGGTGAGAGTCAAACATACAGGAGCTTTACATTTCATACAGATAGCCAGAACACACAACCCGGGTCTATGTACCATTTACTGGACCAAAGCCACCCTCATCCTGACTATCCCCCCCCCCCCCCCCAACACCTCACCTGTGTAAGAAAGATATATATTTACCTATTCAGCCTGCTCAGGTCTGGTCATGTGACCCGGCTCCCCGTGGTGGCTGCAGGGGAGAGGAGGGAACACCGACAACAGCTGGAACCTAGGAGCCTGCGGGTGATGTCATCACTTCCAGCCATTCCCAGCCTGTTATCTGTGGAAGTAGAGACCCCCCACAATCTTGGCTTTGTCCCAGACTCACCTAACGGGGGGAGATTTACTCAGACTGGGGTGCTGGGAATCTGGGGCGGCTCTGCGTGGCAGCCAATCAGCTTGTGACTTCAGACTTGATGATAACACCTGGAAGATGATTGGTTTCTATGCAGAGCCATGCCACATGTGGTACACTCCAGTGTTAGTATATGCCCCCCCCCAGATGTGGTACACTCCAGTGTTAGTATATACCCCCCCCAGATGTGGTACACTCCAGTGTTAGTATATAACCCCCCCACATGTGGTACACTCCAGTGTTAGTATATAACCCCCCCCAGATGTGGTACACTCCAGTGTTAGTATATAACCCCCCCCAGATGTGGCACACTCCAGTGTTAGTATATAACCCCCCCAGATGTGGTACACTCCAGTGTTAGTATATAACCCCCCCCCAGATGTGGTACACTCCAGTGTTAGTATATAACCCCCCCACATGTGGTACACTCCAGTGTTAGTATATAACCCCCCCCAGAGATGTGGTACACTCCAGTGTTAGTATATAACCCCCCCCAGATGTGGCACACTCCAGTGTTAGTATATAACCCCCCCAGATGTGGTACACTCCAGTGTTAGTATATAATCCCCCCCCCCCCCGATGTGGCACACTCCAGTGTTAGTATATAATCCCCCCCAGATGTGGCACACTCCAGTGTTAGTATATAATCCCCCCCCCCCGATGTGGCACACTCCAGTTTTAGTATATAACTCCCCCCAGATGTGGTACACTCCAGTGTTAGTATATAACCCCCCCCCCCCCGATGTGGCACACTCCAGTGTTAGTATATAACCCCCCCCCCCCCGATGTGGCACACTCCAGTGTTAGTATATAACCCCCCCCCCGATGTGGCACACTCCAGTGTTAGTATATAACTCCCCCCAGATGTGGTACACTCCAGTGTTAGTATATAACCCCCCCCCCCGATGTGGCACACTCCAGTGTTAGTATATAACTCCCCCCAGATGTGGTACACTCCAGTGTTAGTATATAAAACCCCCCCCCCCGATGTGGCACACTCCAGTTTTAGTATATAACTCCCCCCAGATGTGGTACACTCCAGTGTTAGTATATAACCCCCCCCCCACATGTGGTACACTCCAGTGTTAGTATATAACCCCCCCCCCCCCCCCCGATGTGGCACACTCCAGTGTTAGTATATAACCCCCCCCCCCGATGTGGCACACTCCAGTATTAGTATACAACCCCCCCCCCCCCCCCGATGTGGCACACTCCAGTGTCAGTATATAACCCCCCCAGATGTGGCACACTCCAGTGTTAGTATATACCCCCCCCCCCAGGCCATGGCTCCGCCCCTCCCAGCTCTACCCCCCAGGCCATGGCTCTGCCCCTCCCAGCTCCCCCCCCCCCCCCCCAGGCCATGGCTCCGCCCCTCCCAGCTCTCCCTCCCCAGGCCATGGCTCCGCCCCTCCCAGCTCTCCCTCCCCAGGCCATGGCTCCGCCCCTCCCAGCTCTCCCCCCCCCCCCCCAGGCCATGGCTCCGCCCCTCCCAGCTCTCCCCCCCAGGCCATGGCTCCGCCCCTCCCGGCACTGCACGGTCTTCATGGTCAGGTTGTCTCTGGACACGGAGAGGATTTCATTGTATTAGACGACATCCATCCCAGTGTTTGTATAGAGCCGGGTTCCTTGTCCTCCGCACCCCACTGATCTGTATTCTGGGTAGTCACCTCTGCTGGCCATGAGTCCCTGGCTTGTGGCTAACAGACGATGTCTCCTGGATCCCGCAGTGAACTGTCAATGATTGCATGAACTGTCTGTCTTTTCTCCATGCTGTGTCAGGAGACTGAACGCTCCCTCCTTCTGTTCACACAGGGCTTCTGAAACACGGGAGCGGTCATACGACCATAGTGCCTATGGAC